AAAAATACAAATATTTTTTTTTTCAAATCAGTTCGAGCACTTTTTTTCCATATTTTGTTGTAAAAGGCTGTTTGCATTTGTTTCACTTTTCGTTTTGTTTGTTCAACTTGCTCGAGATTGATCAGTTCTAAAATACAGTTCGAAACATTCAAATTTTACTTAAATGGTACAAACAAGCTCGTAGAATCTCATTAGTAGATATGAAACATTCGAAGCTTGAGGAACTTGAAAATGTTTAAGTTTACTTTGATAATCTTTTTTTCTTTCTTCTATATCTCTAATTTGTTGAAGTTTTTGATTTAGATCGAGTATTTTTCCTGGATGACTTAAATTAGTAAGAAACTGTTCCGAATATGGTACTGATTGAAATGTAATAAAAACGATACTTAGATGATTATCTAGATAATCTCTTGGTATTTGTATTTGTTCGTATCGAGGTTCATTGAACGCTTCTTCAATAGTTTCGATCGATAATGAAAAATGAATATTTTTCAATTTTATGATTTTCTAGAATAAATATCAAATAAATTCTACATTATAAATTTTGATAAGATTTACCTTATAGATACCGTCGTGCGCTAATTTTTCATTATTTTTGCCTGAATTCTTTAAAACTAATTGAGTTGAATTGCTTGATGATCTAAAAAAATCCTTGAGAAGAACACTGTACCAATGCAATGGTGTCTTTCTCTCTTTTCTTTTTCTTTTCTCGCTTCTTTTTTTTTTCTTTTTGTATCTCATATGACTCATATTTTTTACGTCGATTGACTGCACAAACTGCTGGCAGAGCCGACTTATTGCTTTTCACTCGCTTAGTTGTCATAGCAAATTCTTTTTCTTTTCAACAGATGAGTTACGATTCAAGTCAGTCACTTGTTCTTAGCTCCTGACTATTATTTTCAGTTGGAATAAAGCTTGACGAAGATTGTGAGAATGTCTTGAGTGTACATCTGAAATTCGTTTTTCGAAAATCGGTGCCGTTCGTACGATATAGAAATGCTGAAAATGAACAATTAATAGCTGATAGTTTTCTTATATGACAATTTATGATTTAATTTTCGATGACTATTAACATCTAAGTTTAATTATCGCCTTGTACGAATTAAAGCCGTTTATGATAAAGTGTGAAACTTCTAGAGAATTTTTTCAAATGTTAATCAACTGATTGAAATAAACATAAAGAAAAACGATAATTAACAAACAGATGATAATTTCTTTATATGGTGATAAATTATTCCGTCTTGAACCAACCATTTATATTTAAGATGTTCAATGCATCTATGTTTTAATTAGTTGTTGCCTTGTAAGATTTAAAATCGTCCGTCATGAGGTTCTCGAGAGTGAGAGAAAAATTTTTGAATGGTCACCAAGAAATGAATTATCAATTTAAAGAAAATGAACATTTTATCTTGAGTCAGTCGACATTCTATCCAAGGCATAGTGATAAATGACAGTCTAGTTTTGACTACTTATTTAGATGGTATTGTCGTTGAATTGAGATGTTAGTTATCGAAGAACGCAAAAAATGAATAAATATATAATTGATTGATTTCCCAATATTATTATTTTATTTGACAATTTTCTAAAATCGAATGATTTTATCTATAAAAAGAAAACATAATGAAATAATAATTTAACGTTAATGTTTAAGAGTTTGATCGTATTGTATTAGTAAATAAGTAGTGATATTTTTTGAATAAGAATAATATATTCTATGATTAAATAAGATAATTAACTGATAAAAAAATGTTTGAAATTTATTTTTGATAGTCAATGAATATGACGTCTATTTATTTATTAATAATATAAAATAAAAAACAAATAAAATAAGATATAAATGAATTAAAATACAAAATGAAAAATGAAAAATGAAAAATATTTAACAAGGTTGATTTGAAAAAAAAGTTGTTGCTGAAGGAATTCTTCGAAAAAGAGATAAAGGTGTTGTTGGTGATTTACGAAATTGACATTTATTATGATCAATTGACATATTAAATGTTGATGATGGTGCAGCTAAATGTGTTCGATCATATTGTTTAGATTCTAATGAATTTTTTTTTTTTATTCGTTTTTTATTTAAATGTTGTAAATATTCATTTGATTTATTTAATTGATCATGTATATATGTTAATGAAGATTTAAAATGACTTTGTTTTCTTCTATGTGATGATGATGATATCGATTTTGTTTCTTCTCTTTCTTGATCTTGTTCTTGATCTTGATCTTGTTCATATTCATTTTCATCTTGATCAGATTCATCACTTGATGGTTGAGGTGTTGCACGATCAATCATATCTTTTAATGCAGCTGCATCACGTTTTAAATCATATCGTGTTGATATAATTGAAGGATTTTTTCCTAATTTATTAAGTCTTTCAGCAGCAACTGATTCCATTGTTCTTCTCATTAATGGATATGATTCAAGAACACTTTCAAATTGACTTGAATCTAATGAATATAAATTACAATATGTTACACAACGAACACCTGCTACACGTTTAGCTCGTGTTAATAAACATATTTCTAAACATAAATTATATTAATATATTAGACTAAATATTAAGACAAACCTCCAAAATAAGATCCATCAGATAATGTTGTTAAAACTTGTCCATCTGATTTAATTATATCAACAACACCTTCTTGAATAAAATACATTTTATCTCCAATTGTTCCTTCATATATTATTTGATCACCTGGTTGAAATACTTCAAAACGTAATTTTGTAACAACATCAGAAACAAAATTTGGATCTGCATTTGAAAAAAATGGAACCGATGATACAAGAGATCGACAATTATAATTAACAACATCCTTTTGTTTTTTTTAAAAAAATAATTCTTAGATTTAAATTAAATATAGAAAATAAAAACAAACAAACCAATCTTAATCTTTCGGAAAGTTCCTTTAAAATATTATCTTCATCAAAAATTTTTCCTTGATAACGATGTTCATAATAATCTGTTATTCTATTACGCATTTCTCTTGGTAATTTTCTCCATGCCATATATTCTTCAACTTGTTTATACTAAAATTAAATTATTACTTTTTTCTATATTTATAATTAAATAAGAAATACTTTTTCATTATATAAACGTCTTGATGTATCAAAACTTTGAACAAGTGCTGATACATGTCCAATAGTAACAGCATAACACATTGCTCCAATAACTAAATAAATAAATAAATAATTATATTAAATAAATAATAAAATGATTTTAATAAAACCCATTGAAAGCATTGTTAACCACATATCAACATAAGATTGAGGAGGATAACGACCATAACCAATACATAACATATGTGAAAGAGCTTTAAATAATGCAACTGTATATTGTTCTGTCCATGGAGCATTTTGAAGAGCATTTAATGAAACCCAACAATCGGATGGAAAATTTTGAAACATTGGTATCATAAATTGTAAACAACCATTCCAATGTGCCAATAATATAATTAATGCTAGTAAATTAAGAATACGCATAACCATACTTGCTATTGATAAAAACTAAACATATATATTTTTATTTAGGTTTTTTTTTTTTTTCTTTCATATTTAATTTAAAGAAAAAGAAAAAGAAAAAAAAAACAACTAATAAATCGATTGGGCAGGAAGATCTTTATTCTCCTACCCTCGAATTATGTTCATGCATTAATTATTTGTAAATATCATGCGTGTTAGGCTTTTGTCTTTTTTTTTATTAGCGAATATATTATATTAAGAAGATATATTATCTAATAGGAAATATTATTTGACATGCATTCAACTATTTTAAATAAAACAAACATTATCAAAAACTAATATTATGATAAATATATTAAAAACAAAACACAATAAATAATACTATAAATAATATCAATTAAAATAAATAATAAAATCATGCAATTAATTAATTAATTAATTAATTAAGATAAATGAAAATAGTTTTGTCACCCAGACGGGAAGATGAACTCGAAGGAAATTGGCCGCACGAAGTTCTATCGATCGATATCTGACTCGATGTCGCTATTTTAATAAGATGATCTTTCCTGCCCTTATATTAACTAAAATAAATAAATATTTAAAAAAATATCTCACCTCTTCCCATTGATGTATATATCTGACAAGACGTGATAATCGAAGTAATCGAAGTAATGAAAGTAATTTAACAAGTCGAAGAATTTTAATAGCACGACCTGTACGTGCTATTGTATATCCTCCGGGATTATCTCCCGTATCAAGTAATAAAAAAAAATAATCAACTGGAAGTGAACTAACTAAATCAAGAATAAACCAAGTTTTTATATAAGTTTTTGCTATTAAACGTGGTTCAAGAATTATTTCATCAATATAATCATTTCTTAATACACCTTTTCAAACAAAAAAACATAAATTATTAAGAGAAATAAATAAACTAAACCTGTTCGAAAATTGACAAGAATATCAAAAAGAAAAAAAGCATCAGATATAACATTAAATATAATCCATCGTGCTGAATTAATTTCATCACTAAAAAATGCAATGGCAACAGGAAGGACGATGACATTGGTTATTAATAATGTTAACATAATTAAATCCCAATAAAAACTAAATTAAACAAAGAAAAAAATTCTTTTTTATTTTAATAAAATAAAATAAAAAAAGAATAACCGAAAATTAGAACATGGATGAATAATACAATGTCCAGCTCTTTGTTGTCTTAAACGTTCTTTAAGAAGACCTTTTCGACTTCCAAATAATTTTAAAGCTAATTTATTATCACTTGGTTTTAAAAGATCCATAAAATATGAAACAATTGTTGATGAACTTTTTAATGGAGAATCATTTGTTAATCTTTGTTCATAATGATTATTAAGATTTTCGGGTGAATATATTTGATCATCATGAAAACAATTATCTTTTGAAATATTTTCATTTTTATTTGTTTGAGGTTCAATAGTAACTGTTATTGGAGGATTTGTTGGTAATGTAAATTCTCCTTGAATTGATCCAGATCTAATAGATTTAATTCTTTCTCCTTTATCTCTATATTGATTTCGATTTCTATATCTAGAAATTTCATATGTTTTATCATATTTATTTGTTTTAATTGATTTAATTGGTAAACTTAATTTTATTTTTGTTCTTCCTTTATCATAATATTCTTCTAAATCCGAATTAGAATTAATATAATTATTATTTATTTTATCAATTGAATTAAATGAATTTTCTTTAATTAATTTAATTGAATGATCACTTTTAGTTTTATCAAAATTTTTATTTTTAATATATTCATTATTATTATTATTCAAATTTGATAAATTAATTGAAGCTATTGTTGATCGACGATCATTTTTATTTGATTCACTTTTAATTAAAGATAAACCTTTCAATGATGATGATGATGATCTTGATAATAATCGACGATCATCGAATATCAATCGCTCTTTTTTATCCATTTTATTAGATGAAATAAACGATGACGAACGACAATAAATAGAAGAAATCGATCGCATCATTGATGATGATACATCACACATGTTTTCACTTGATTTTATTGATTTTTCTTCACTATTATTATTATTATTATCTTTAGTCATTATTTCCATATTTACATTTTTCAAATTAATATTATCATCTAAATTATTTTTTGTTTTTTTTGTTGTTGTTCGATATTATTTTTTTAACTCGAATAAAAACTTACTTTTATTTGAATTCAAATTATAATCATATAAATAATTATCAGGTTTTGATTGAATAAAATCATATTGTCTTTCGAACATTTCACAACTTGTTATTGATGATGAATTTATTCCATTTTCATTTGTTTCAATTAATTGAAAATAATCTTCATTCGAAGGTACATATGATATATTCGACATAGACTAGATTTCTAAAAAACTATCATATCACATTCCTATCATGATCGGTCGGCTCTTCCTATCCCTATCCATATTCCTATCCCTATCCCTATCTATCTCTATCATCTTGCTTTCTCGCGCTTGTCGCTTCAATCAAGATAGACATTTTTATTATGAAATTATCCTGCTATAGAAGATACTTACTCTTCTATTGGAACTAATGTATGCGATTCTCATACAAGTTAAACACGATTCTTGTTGTGCTCTTTTATAGATATCGATAGAAAAATAAATAAATAAAGATTAGGTGAAAAAAAGAAAAGATAAAGAAAAAATTATTTCTATAGAGAAAAATAAATGAAGAGAATGATTTGATTACGGATCTAACGATCAAGCAGCGACAGCTGACTTCCGACACTTGTTTGACACGTACAAAAAAAACAAAAAAAAAAAACGAAATAAACCGAGAAAATCATGTGTTTGTTATTTAAATATAACTAGAATGTCTTATCTAAACAAACATCATCATACCAGATCTTTCACATTCACTTTTTTTTCTACTAATTATCATTTTATTTAAACAAAAAAAAACACACAACATGAACTCAGCAAATTCTTTTCCAGTTTTTTTTTCGTCTGAGATCGTAAAAAAACAAAAGAAAAAAACAAAGACAATCTAATTGAATAAAGTTGGATCATAGAAATATATCTCAAGAAAAAAAAATATTCAATTGGTTAGTTTTTATTCTTGCTATTATCTCGTTTATCTGGTCATATTATATTAATATTATCTTATTTATAATCGAAATTTTACAGTAAACTCTTTGTATATATATATATTATTTAGATTTATTCGCTTATTTTATTCGAAATCAATAACAACAAGAGAAAAATAACAATTTAACGTAAACTAAAAGAAAAAAAAAAATCATGTGAAAGAACAATTAAAAAAGGTGTCAATCACCTAAGAGACAAACCAAGAAGAATGTTCTACCTTGCTTTTTATTTTCTTCTCGAACTAAACGTCGATCTTTCATAATATTAAACGGGAAAGAGAGAGGAAAAAGAAAGGAAAAGGACACGGTAGATGATGACAACAAAAACAAGAAAAACAACATCTGCAGGGTGTCTGACAGAGAGATAAATAGATGCCACACAGAGATACAGGATTAAAGCAACTATACAGAGATTAGTGTCAAGCGACACAAGATGCGCTTAGAAATGTTGACTTATAGAAAGAGAAATTAAGATAAATATATATGATTCTCATTGATAATAATGATAATGACATAAAAGAGAATATTTGACTACCTGTCTATTGACGACAATGAAATGAGAGTATCTTTCTCTTTATTGTTTCTTCAAGATGATCAAAAACAATTGCCGATCGTTTCTTCTCTTCCGATTGATGAATGACGAAGAAAAAGAGAATAAATAATCGAGAAGAATAGACTTTTTTTGCTTGTGAGATGACATTCTCAATCCATATTGCATAGTTTATATCTGTTTGCATGTCTATTTATATATTATATATATATATATATATGTGCGTGTGTTCTTTATGAGAAAATCTTTGCAAATTGGTTAATTCTCTATGACACTTAGACGAAACTGAATATTGCCATAAAAGAATTGTCGTATAAACAAATTTTTCGGCAATTTTCTCAGTGTTAATGTAGAAAAAAGGAATATTGATAATGAATAGTTTGAAGCTGTCAAAAAAAATCAATTGCTTGTTTATTCTAAAGAAAAGAAAAAAACAAAAGGCTAACTAACAAAATATTATATCGAATTCAATATTTTTATCTTTGAACAAGTTTTTTTTTTGTTTTTTTCTCGTTGATTATTTTTTTTTTATCATTAGATTTCGAATGATATTTACTTTTTCAATTTATTAATTTAATAAAAAAGAAAATATTTTAAAAGTATTTTTATTATTAATATCATTGATAATTAATAAAATCTATTTCTAAATGATTAATTATTGAGAGATGATCTGGTTACACAATTCTATTATAATATATTCAAAGAATTTGTTAATATATTATCTATGAATGTTACTCTATTATCTATTATTATCATAACTGATCCTATTTTACTATTTTATATAATTATATTAAACAAATATTTTATTATTTATTTGTCCTAGATAATTCTTCTATAATCTTAATGAGACAGGTGTTACTATATTTATCTTAGATTTGTTACGATTCCTTATTGGATTATATGTCTGACTTTCTTCGACATTCCTATTTTATTATTTATTTTTCTTAAGAAATTCTTCTAGTTCTGTTCGCATATATATATATATTTACATATAAAAAATTACAAAAAAAAAAGAGAAAAGTAAATAGTTAAAATAAAAAAAAATTCTTTTGATTGAATTCATTGATAAAAATAAATGAAGAAAAATAATAATAATAATAATAATTTAAATAAAAAAAGAATAAGTTATGTTAAATTGATCTAAAATAAAAAAAAAAAAAACTAAAATGATTGAAAATAAAGGCTATTTATAAATGTAATTAAATAAATAAAAAAATCGTTTTGAGTGACTCTTTAACAAAATAAGTACCACTAGATTTATTATCTACTTTATATTCTATAATACTATTAACCGTATTCGAACATATCTGATCGATCAAATATTTATTTAATTTCTCTATTTTATCTTCACATATTATTTAATTATAATTGACATTATAAATAATTATCTTTAAATATTTTAGAAGCTTTTCATAATTAGAAATAAAAATAATATAATAACAATAAATAATTGATCTTATTCTCACAATATACGTATATAAATAGTTCCATTATTATATCTATAAGATTTAATTATATTATCAAATATTAGTCATACAACATAATATTATCAAAAATATATTATTTCATCTTCGAAAACCTTCGATACATTTTTCTACATCAATCAATAACATAAATACGGAATAAACTGTCAAATATATTGTTTTATTTAATGAAATTCTATTTCGAATATAATTGACATATTTATTTTCATTCATTTAAACAATATATATAGAAGAATTCTTATTATTATATAACAACTATCATTCTGCCTAAGCCACGACTCAGATCATTTTAAAAAATATTCAATTATTCAGTTTTTTTTATGCCTCTTTTATAAAAATACTAAAAAACAAACATTTCGACCAAAGATAATCGGTCTGGTGCCATATACCAAGAATAGTATTGTTCATTCAGCTAAAATATTGTATAGACATACACATTCATCAGTTATAGACAACATTAAATTTTCACTTCAAAATCTTGCGTTCGTCATTTTCTATCACTTATTCAGTATAAGCAAAAATTCACATTTTGGCCAACTTTTATATTTCACAATTGGTGATAACAATAACATTGAGATCTAACTATTTTTACTATAACTAGACAATATACTGATATACATCGATATCCTTTTGAGAACTTTGAGATTTACATACCTTTTATTTCGATCAGTCAAAAAGTTGAGAGAGCTATCTAAGGTGTACAATATTATGATAAAATTAGCCTGACTCATTTACAAACGGCTTGCAGAAAAGATCATCTTCAAGGACCCTGAGCAAGATGTTGATTCACTCCATACATACAAGTCTCATCAATGGATCGATTTAGAGAATTGAAATTTTTATTACGAAAAAACGTCTCATTGACTACTGAGTATGGTAAAAACTTCAGCTTTATAAACAGTTCGTATCACTTAGAAGACTTGATACAATATCGTCAATTTTTATGAAAATAACGATTTTCACACAGTTCGTCATTCCAAGGTATAGAACGTATCAAAGTTGTATTCATATGAATATCTATCACCTACTAGGTATCACAAAGTTACGAAAAAAATTGGGGAAAGATCTCTTTAAATGGTTTGCATATACTTATTGAAAAATAGAGAAAAATCAACTATTTTATCTACGAAATGTGTTGGGTTCACTTAGAATACAGAGACCAATAGAAGATAATGTATTGATTTACATTGGATAGAATTTATTTCAGATGATGATGCTCTTCTATTAAGTTTTTGAAACCAGATGGAGTATATTTCGAGTAAAAAAGCATTATTTTGTGCATTTTAAAATAAAGTTGTCTGTACTATTCCACAAGATCTCTGTTAGATTCTTACATAAGTTTGTAGTCGTTGGTATGCACTTGGATATTATATGTGTTCGGATTGTAGAGTCTCACTTTCTAAAGGAGGACAAACTCCCAAAATTGTTATCTTCATCAAAACTTTGATTTTCTACGAAGTTCTCTAATTGATAAGAACTGTCTAGAAAGATGAAATTTTTACCATAATCACTACTCAGTGGTACTTCTTCTTAGTCAAAATTTCAGCTAGTTCACTCAATCCATTCATGAGAGTTGGATTTATGAAATGACTCAATATCTTGCTCAGGGTCCTTAAAGATGATATTTTATGCAATCCATTTCTTGCCTTATTAAGCTCAGTCCTTCAACAATGAGGTATTTTGAGAGAACATAGAAAATTTCAACTGTATGGTCGATGGTGTTCTTGATATATGTCCATGGCAGGATTTTACCTTGATGAAAATATTAATTTTGAGTATTTTTCATAAAACAAGAATAAAAAGAAATCAACAGTTGAATATATTTGAAAAAAGCTTGATCAATGTTGATAAAAGTCTTTGTTGTGTAAGGTTATTTTATTTAAAATGAACGAAATGTGAGAATGTCAATAGAGCAGTTTCGATGGTGGATTATATTGAATTGATTATATATATAATAATATTCAAAAACAAATATTTTATAAATAAAAATCTTTTTAATAATTAAATTGAAAATAAAATTAATAAAATATTTATTGAATAATAATAAATAATGAATTATTTCGATAACAATCTCAATATTTAAATAATTATTTAAAAAATAATATTTATTATAAATAAATCAATAAAGAAAATATTTTTTTCAATAAACATTTTCTTATTGATAATTAAACTAAAATTATTTAAAACGAACAAAAATAAAATCAACTGTTGAGAATCAACGTTTATTTAAGATAAAAAAGTTTGATTTTCTCTGATAAAATAAATTTTAGTTTAAAATAATCAGTCAGAATTAATTGATTAAGACTTAATTATTAGATTTTTTTTACTTTTCTATATTTAAATTATATTCTATAAGAATATTTTAAATCTTCAATTAATTCATATTTATTTTCATCTATTTAACAAATCTTATTTTATTTTATTTCGATATAACTTGTCAAATATTTTATATATCAATTAATTAATTGAATTTCTAAACATAGATCTTCCGTTTTGAGTTAATCATTCAAATAAAATCAAACTTATATTAGACTTTTAAAAACAAAACAAAAAAAAAAAAAAAGTCAATATAAAAAAATGTTTTTTAGCGACATCAATTTGTTAATCGATTATTGGTTAATTATTTATTCGAATAGAAATATATATATATAAAACAAATGACAATCGATCGAAATCGATAGATAGATATAGATATATTAAAATAAAATGATTTTTTTAATAAATATCTTGTTATTAATTATTGTTAATACATCATGTTTTATTTATCGTGATGAAATCTTAGTATCATCAAATGATATTGAAACAATATTAAATGATGATGAAAATCCCTATAGTCCACTTGTTTATTGTCAATATCTGTAAGAATAATTTATTTTTTTTCTTTCTAAAATATTAATTTATTTTATTTAAATAACTAAAAAGTCCATCAGATTATTATCATTGTGAATCAGTTGAAGATATTCCAGAAAATGAAACAAGATCATGTCAAGTAATTGAATTTATTTTTGTTTTTTTTTTGTTTAATAAAATTTATTTTAATTAAAATAAAGAAAAAAAATGGTCGTCGTTTTGGTGGAGAAAAATATAATGAAGTTGAACATACATCAATACAATGTCGAATATATGATGGTATTGAATGTAAAGGAAATCGTACATTTATTATAAATAATGTACCTTGTATTAAATATTCTTCACATTATTTTATATCAACACTTTTATATTCGATTTTTTTGGGTTTATTTGCTGTTGATAGATTTTCTCTTGGTCATATTGGTATTGCTGTTGGAAAAATGATAACACTTGGAGGTTTAGGACTTTGGTGGATTATTGATATTATTCTTCTCATTTTTGGAAAATTAATGCCTCAAGATGAATCAAATTGGATTATTCAACATTAATACATAGTCTCCTTTTTTTTTTCATTTTATTATAACGAAATAAATCTTTAGTAATATATGTATATATGTATGTATAAAAGTGAATATATTTATTAACTAATCAATTAATTTATTATCAAAATATCTTCATTAGAATCATATTTAATTACTTCGACAACTATTTAAATCAGTTTTTTTATCTTTTTAAAAAACAAAAAAAACCTTTTTAATGAAGAAAAAACTCTTTATAAAGACTTTCAATAAATAAATAAATAAAAAAATATATTTAATTGATTAAATTATCTCAATAATGTTTTATTTTCTCATTTGTTACAAATGTTTATTTTCACCAATTAAATAAAAACAATATTAACTTTTTATTTTTATTTTTATTTGAAAATTTTTCAATAAATAAATAAACTATTATCAAATCTTTAATATAACAAGTATAGCTCTTCATTGCAAACATTTTTATCATTAATTAACAAAAAATTTCTGCAAAATAGAATCAGAAAGATAGATAGATTGAAAAGATTTTATCAGTTAACATTTATTTAACTATCGCACAATTAATCTCTACAAATCCATAATTAAGTTCCATTATTATTTATTAGTTTTATTCAAAAATGATTATTTTTAAAGATTTTATCATTTATTGACAAATTATCTCGAAATTCTAGAAAACCTATAGACTTTAATCATAAACATATTTATTTTATTTGTCCACTTTCATTTCGACCATAATCAGTGCATATTATTAAATAAAACTATCTTCCCCCAATCATCTTCCTATATCTATATTCGTTTGTTTCCGTAATGGCAACTTTTGTCTCTCCTTTCCCTTCTTCCCCTACTCGATTCTTTTTTGAGGTCATTTTTTGTTCTTCAATTAAGAAAATACCAAGGTAACATCAATTAAACAGATCTTATTTTATTTAATAAAAAACAAATTTATCGTTTTTCTCCTAAAAATATTTTCAAATATTTTAAAGACAAATCATGAGTTTAAACGATAAATCGATATACTAAAGTAGTAGACAATAATTAAGAGAAATTTTAATTATTTATTCATTTTTCACTATAAAAAAATTCTTTTTCTATACTATTCAATACGATATTTAATTAGCTATATTATCATAAAAAGTACTTTTAAATATAATTAATTAATGACAATAGAATATTTTCATATTAATTTCTAAACCTTAAGGATTATATTCGAAAAAATGTTGAAAACTGAACAATATGATTAATTATTATATTTGGTAAAATAATTCATTTTAATAAGATTCTACCCTGATTAGAAAATTTTACTATTATATTGCTTTTTTATATTACTAATACTTAACTTAATAAAACTACCTAAAATTTTGACATTTAACATATATTGTAGTATAGATTTCATTCTTTTAATATGAGGCCTTGCTAACTTCAATCTGACGTATTATTTAATCGGTATATCACTTTTAGTTCTCTTCCTAACAATTTGAGAGATAGTTTCCAGCTGTTTTTCTAAGATAATGCGCCTCACCCAACTAAAAGTGATATACCGATTAAATAATACGTCAGATTGAAGTTAGCAAGGTCTCATATTAAAAGAATAAAATCTCTACTACAACATATGTGACAGAGATGGAACCGGTGCCGGTCTGGATTTTGGATCGACCGGTCTAAACAGGTCGAAACCGCCTTATATCAGTCTATATTTTTCACTGTCTTGCTTTATGATAGTATTCATATGAAAAAGCCACTGACATCAAGACTAGTCCCACTGATCATACAGAAATTTATTTAACAAACAGTTTTCGGAATGCTAAACAGTGAGACTATTGTTATCAACGGTGATACATTACGCCAGTATGCATGAAAGTACGAATGTAGCTCTCAAGCGAATTCACTATGAAATATGGTTTATTTCAAGCCTCAGTCTCTTGTCTGTAGATCGATATTTTGTCCGTAGGTAGGATTTTCTCTTATAAAATAACGTATCATCAGCATCCTGTTTAGTACCGGTAGGCTAGTTTTGGCCGATAGATCGATCAGATCAACTTTTCCGGCTAAATCGGTTTCGATCGGTAAATCGGTTAGACCAGTTTTTACCGGTATACCGACTGCTCCGGTTCGGTCTGATATCTTCAGATCGGTATCAGTGCAGGTCCGAGAAAAGGTGGACCAGTTTCATCTCTGTCGTATTGAACAACAGCATCACGATGCAATTGTTATGATATTTCTGAATCATTAGCTAAGTTTGTAACTTGCGAGAGATACATTAAAAAGAAGTTTCACTGTAAGCATCGATGTATTATTTGTAAGCCAGTTTTACCGGTCTAGACCTATGTTAAATGTCAAACTTTAGATAGTTTTATTAAGTTAAGTATTAGTAATATAAAAAAGCAATATAATAGTAAAATGTTCTAATCAGGGTAGAATCTTATTAAAATGAATTATTTTACCAAATATAATAATTAATCATATTGTTCAGTTTTCAATATTTTTTCGAATATAATCCTTAAGGTTTAGAAATTAATATGAAAATATTCTATTGTCATTAATTAATTATATTTAAAAGTACTTTTTTATGATAATATAGCTGATTAAATATCGTATTGAATAGTATAGAAAAAGAATTAAAAAAAAAGAATTTTTTTTATAGTGAAAAATAAATAAATAATTAAAAGTTCTCTTAATTATTGTTTACTAGTTTAATTGTTAAAGTTTCATTGAATTATTTGTTCGAGTTAGATTTTAATTATTTAAAATAGAAAAGAGAAAATTGATTTTTGAATAAAGATTTATTTGTTAAGTATATGATGACGATATAAAATATATAATGAAACTGATGAATATATTTCATATGAATAAACAATGTTCACAATTGATCTTCTTCTATAGTAAACTAAAGAGCAATAAGAGTTGTCATTGTTAAAATATTTTCTTTCAAACTTGAATAAGTTGAAGATAATTGAAATTCGATTAAATCGATAATGAAACAATTTTGTTTTTAAACAAATATTATATTAATAATTTGTTTGTTTTTCTCGCTTTTTCAAATATATATTCTTAAACTATTTTAATAAAAAGTGTCAAACACAATAAAATATAATATAAACATGTGATAATCATGTTGATATTGTCTTATGACAACAAATCTCAAACTATTAGAACAGATTTATTAAATTGACAAAAAATATTAATTCTAGTACTATTCGATGCATTGATATTGATAAAAAAACATATCGAATTGATAGTTTTGATCAAATTGTAAATATTTATAGTCTAGACTGTTGTTATTATACTGTATGTATAATGAGAAAATCTTATTGACAGTAATCATATAAATTGGTATTCAAAATCTATTCTAGTGCATATTTTATTTCTTCTATGATCATTCACTTTCAGTTGATTATTTTGAATATGATATATGAGCGAATAAGTAGTCAATAATGGATCTTACCTTCAAATTGATTCATATTGATGTAAAATCTTTACTCCAATATTTTCGATTAAAAATATAACTAAAGATCTTTGAAGACGGTTTTTTTTATCTTCGTATCTAAGATAAACATATATGTGTGACAGAGATGTCCATCGCGGCTGAAAATCTGCCGCAGCCTTAGAAAAAAAAAGCTGCCGCACCGCTGTCGCGCCGCGACAGTTTATAAAGAAATGTTGCCGCGACGCTGCCGCACCGCGATGACTTATAAAAAGTAAAACAAATTGATATAATTAAAATTTGATTTAATTAGATCGAACAAATTAATAAGTATCCTAGAATAATTCATTTATATCGAACCAATCGAACAGTTTAAAATCATCGAAAAATAAAATAAAAATAATTCTCAAACAGAGTTATCATTCGATTAGATTTGACTGTTGAAGAACAGATTGGATTGATTCTATTTTATATAAATAAATATCGATTTAATTATGTTCATCCTTGGAACCTCTTAGAAAAAAACAAAACCAGTGCGTATTCCAGTAAACCAGAGAGAAATCAATCGATCTCATTTGATGAAAAATCGTTCCAAATAAGAAAAATCATTGCTCAAAACCAACAAAACTGATTGTCGCGTTCGAAGCGGGCTTGCCTTTGGCTGTAACAAATAGAAAACGATCCGATCCAGATGATTAGAATTTACTCTTGGACAGATGAAATTCCGGTTAAAAATTGACAAAAAAAAAAATGGTGAATTGGTTTTTAAAAATGATTTTCTATTAAAAAAAAGTCTCCAAATATGAAATAGTTGAGGAATGGATGTAAAAGACATTGATTATAATGAATCTTTTTAGAGAGAAACTCAGAACAAATAATTAACACGAAATATGTTTGGGGCAATTTTTTACGCATTATGACAGCTTAATTTTTTTTGGCTAAAAACAGTACTGTAAAACTTGAAACTTGAATTGAATCGAAATTTCAACTTTCAAGCTTTCAGGTTTTGAAATGTTTTGGATTAGTGTGTACATAGAGACGTGCATGGGTTGCAGCTCTTCGGAAGCGCTTCGCAACGCTAATATAAATGTCAGTTATGTGAGAAAAGCATTTACTTCTCTCTTGAAAACTTGAAATTTCAATTGAATTCAAATTTCAAGTTTAACATGTCTATCGGGATGTTCGTACGTTAGTTCGATGATAGTAGCACCTGAGGTGATTCACTCTATCACGTAAGATAAAGTTTGACCGAAGGTTTTTAGGGTCGGGGAATTCAAATGTGCTATTAGTTATTAAGTTTTGTACCAAATTTTTATTGTAAAAATGCGCTTTTTTACAAAAAATTTGATTCTATAAAAAGTTCGGCTTAAGAGTTTTGAGGTCAATGAGTTCAAATTTGTTGTTAGTTTTTAAAAATTTTGTTCGTAACTTTCTTTCGTAAAAAAAGTACTTTTAGAAATAAAATTATTCGTTATAAAGTTTGGTCGAATGGTTTTGGGTCGACTAATTCAGACCGATGACAAGTTTTTCAAAGTTCTGAATTTTATTTTTCGTTTCCAAAGCTTTCTCTTTCTCGAGTTATTTGCGCTGA